CTCTCCTGAGCTTTTCAGCTTACGACACTGGCCACCTGCAGAGAGACCACCTCAACTCTTGGGGCTCTAAGTCTAAAACTGCTGGGAGATCGTTCATTGGCCTCGCTTGGGCCACAAGCCTTCTTCTAGAGCAATCAACTGTGTTGGGAGGAGGGAGAGATGTGTGTGCAAATTGTATCTTATCATTGTAGCTCCTGAAAGGACCATTTGGATGGAATAAGGGGAAGGGGATTCTCAGAAGAAGGGGCATTCCTGAGAAAACAATTACATATGAATCTACCATAGTATTATTGAAAAAAAGTGTGAGAGAATACGAGTAGATGAATAGAAAGTAATGTTGGACATTTTAAGTGAGGCAAAGGGAGAAAAGAAGGTCTGGAGATTTCAGTGAGAAGGTTAAGAAACACTTGTGAAACTGTAGATACGATAAACTGACCATCAAAATGTTGCCAAACATTATTATGCCTCATTTACTTTCAAATGCTTCAGTAAAACTGAAATCGATGAAATAAAAATGGCAAAATGTTAATATTAAAACAAAGTGATGGGTATATAGGTGTTTATTATTCTGGTCTTTCTGTATATTTGAAAATTTTTCGTTATGAAAAGAAAAAAGAAGCAGATTCCAAAGTGGATCTCTGAAAAGAAGTTGTGGGCAACTTGCAGGGGAAGATTAGTCAACTCAAGAAGAGATTTCATAGATTTATAGACATTAGAACCGAGAGGGCCTTTACGACATTCTACAGTCCAGTCTTTTAGGCTTTGCTCCTGGTTCTGCCACTAACAATGTGTGTTTGGGTAAGTCACCAAAATTCTGTGAGACTTAGATATTTTTATTTGTAAAATGAGGGGGCTGCTGGGGCCAGCCCAGAGGCGCAGCGGTTAAGCGCACACATTCTGCTTCAGCGGCCTGGGGTGCAGTGGTTCAGTTCCCGGGTGCAGACACGGCATCACTTGGCAAGCCATGCTGTGGTAGGCGTCCCACATATAAAGTAGAGGAAGATGGGCATGGATGTTAGCTCAGGGCCAATCTTCCTCAGCAAAAAGAGGAGGATTGGCAGCAGTTAGCTCAAGGCCAATCCTCCTCCTCAAAAAAAAATATGAGGTGGCTGGCTTAGCTGATTTCAAATGTTCTGTGTTAAACTCACTCAAAGCCAGCTAAGACTAGGTTTCAGGTATTAGCAAGGCAGATACAAGAGTAAAAGAAAGTGGGTCAACCCCACTTGCCTGGCGTTCAAGGCTTTTCATGTTGTGGCTCTAGCTGAACTGCTATCCTCTACACACTTTTTATACCAGGGGCATTTCCTCTGGAAACCACTGGGCTGGTCCCTGGAATTCTTAACAAGATTTGATCTCTCTCAGGGCCGGCCCAGTGGCATAGTGATTAAGTTCATGGACTCCGCTTTGGCAGCCTGGCGTTTGTGGGTTCGGATCCTGGGTGTGGACCTACACATTGCACATACAAAATAGGGGAAAATGGACACAGATGTTAGCTCAGGGCCAATCTTCCTCAGCAAAAAAAGGAGGATTGGTGGTAGATGTTAGCTCAGGGCTAATCTTCCTCAAAAAATAATTAATTAAATAAAATAAAAAAATTTTTAAAAAAAGATTTGATCTCTCTTACTAAATCCATATCACTTTTTGAACTGTCATATGGAACACACTACATTTTACTTTTTATCCGTTTTTCGTATTTTAATTATTTTTGAAAAATATTTCCCTTCTCACCAGACTATAAACTCCTGAAGAAGGGAGGGATCAAGTCTTATTTAGTTTCATATTCTCAAAGCATTAGCCCAATGACTTACATAAAGGAAATTCTTGATAGTGTTGGACTCACTGAATAAGGTAGAAACAGATTTATGCAAAACTGTGAGTCGGTTGTTTTGCTACATAAACTCTCATTGGCATAAACTGACCCTTTTTCTGAAACTCTGATGAAGGAATATGATTATTGATTTTCCAAATAACCTTTTTTTTTGTAGTGAGATTTTCCCAGAAAGCTAAAACCCTGACAGAAGAAAATGTCGCTCAAGATTTCCTTATGTCGGAATTGTGATGAGTGGGCGTATTTTGCGCTAGTTAGAGGTTAAAGTTGGGATTATTGCCTCTGCTGCAGGTTCTTCATTGAGGCAGCAAACACACAAGGAGCCACAGCGTGGAAGGCATGGAAGGCAATTCTCTAAGAATCTGACCAACGATCTGCTACCTCTGAAAGATTCTCTGTTAAACCTCAAATGGAGGGCGAGACTTACACTTGGAGTCGCTGAGCCCTGCCAGGGTCTGCTGCCTGCAGGAAGCCGCACAGTGAGGCATTGACTGAGCCCTGCAAACATGGTGGCAGATGGTGACTCTGACTACTAGTAAAATGTGATCCCATGAGGGTCTTGGGCTCTGAATAGTTCCATTAGCAATCCCTTCTCTCTTGGTTGTGTGTAGGTGTGGATGGCATGGTGGAGGTGAAGAATGGCGTTGACAAGGGTTGTTTTAGCATGGGAAGAGGGATGTGCTCTCTCTTCTCCTCAACGCTATTTTGGAAGATTTATTTCAAGTCATTTTTGTTCACGAAGCTAATTTATTTCTGTCATTACTTTAGAGGAAAGAATGTATGCAATGATATATAGTTAATTCTCGATTACCCTTTCAACTTGGTTTCACTGCAGCTTAATGCAGAATATACCTACACAGTGTCATTCTGAAGGGATAATTAGGAATGTACCCAGGTATTTTCAAATTAGTGTTTAATCTTGCAATGCATGACTGTTCTCTTGAAAGCTTTAGGAATGACTTTAGAGATTTTGTCTATTTTGATGAGATTTACATATCATAATTGAATGCATTCTGTTTGTTTGGGCTTCTTTCTGTTTTTTCACCTTAGAAACATTAATGCAGGGCTCAGAAGCTCATAAATCAGTTACTTTTCAAATGAACGAAAAGTGACACGTCTGTTGGCAAGTGCAAACTGCAAATTAGTTTTTTATTGTGCTTTGTTTAAATAGTCTAGAATCTAATAAACATTCTGTAAGAAGCTACTACCAAAGATAGGAGAAACACAGACACATGCCCTCCTTATTAGTGAAATTGTTTTACATATTTCAGTGCTCTCTATATGAGGAAAAGCAATAATTGTATAACAGTAAGTTAGCATACGTTCATAAATATGTTACAGATATTAAAGCTTGTGCATTTTCCTAGTAGCATCAACCACTTGTTACTACCTGGATAACCGCTCTTCTTTCATTCATTCAAAAAACATAAATTGAGGGGCTGGGTGGGACTAGACTTCTAGATACTAGACGTATGATGAACCAGAGAGCATGCTTCCTGCTCTGTGGAGCTTACAATCCAGGTAAGAAGACAAACACAGAAAAAGTCCTTACAAGTGTTTTGAAGGAGAAGTGCAGGGTGCAATAGGAGTGAAAGGTCAATTACCTAGGCTGTGGCTCACCCTGATTTCTTTATTTTTCTTATATTTCTTTCTTTCTTTCTTTCTTTTTTTTTGAGGAAGATTAGCCCTGAGCTAACTGTGGCCAATCCTCCTCTTTTTGCTGAGGAAGACTGGCCCTGAGCTAACATCCATGCCCATCTTCCTTGACGTTACTTGACGTTATATGTGGGACGCCTACCACAGCATGGCTTGCCAAGCGGTGCCTTGTCCACACCTGAGATCTGGACTGGTGAACCCGGGCTGCAGAAAAGCAGAACTTGCGAACTTAACCGCTGCACCACCGGGCAGTCCCAATTTTTCTTATATTGCAAAATTGAAGAGAGAGAGAAAGTGAGAATACAAGCTACAGTAAATGGTGGTGTATGCACGCATACATATCTTGTAGGAAGAGCATCCAGTCAAATAATGGAGGTTCGTTCTCTCAGTCCGCCTCCCTGCAAGTTTTCCTTGTGTATCCACCAGTGGTGTTCAGGATGCGCCTTGCATCCCTTACACCCAAATCCTAAAAGAAGAGAGTCGAGAGTGATGTGGAAGGGATGACAACACGGAGATGGAATCGATTCTTTCACCTTTCAAAGGAAGGAGAAGTGGTTGGTGAGCTCCCTGGGAAGAATGGAAAATCAGAGGGAAGAGCAGAGTGAGAAAGCCGTGGCTTGTGAGCAGCAGAGTTCAGAGTCTAATTCCTGTTGCCTTATCAGCCTCTGATTGTACGTGCAGAGAGAGCTGATAACATGAACCGAGTACAGAGCTGGAGAACTGGAGCGCTTTGGCTACTTTACACTGACCTGGAAAATGTCAGGATAAATTACGGAGGGGGGGGGGGCGTTGGCAATTGTAGTCCTTTTAGAAGTCTCAACGCTTATGGCTATTGAGTTGTTTTTTCCCCCCAACGTCGAGTTGTCACCAATTCACTGAGAAAGGATGCCTTGTGAATAGGGGAGAGGGCTGGGGCAAGGATTCGAGGACCAGGATCTTAAAATGAGACAAGTATCTGCCCACATCACCGTTTAAAAGATGTTGATGCTCCAGACCTTTGTGGGAAATGATCTCAGAGCGACTGTTAACCTTCCCCAAAGATGCATTTTTTTTTTAATTAACATAGGTAACATCCTCTTTAGAAGACAGAATCCGGCTCGGCTGCCAGCCCTCTCGCCGGTTGGCGGAGGCCAGGAGGCGCGCGTGGGGTCGCCCCCGGCGCCGCAGCCCCACTGGCGGGCACGAATCCCGCCCGCGCCGGGCGCTCCCTCAGAGCCCGCTAGGCGCGCGCACGGCCGGGACGCGCGCTCCCGCCCCTCGTGAGCGCGCGCCCTCCCCGGCGCCTCCGCCCCCCGCGCCGGGCCTCGGCGCCCCCGCCCTGCCCGCGCGCCCGCAGCCCCAGCGGCGCTCAGCTGACCGGCCGGCGCCTGGCGCCAGGCGCGGCCTCTCGCGCCGACACTCCCCCTGCGCGCCCCTCCCCCTCGGGCCCGGAGCGGGACGCCCTGGGCGCGAGCCCGCGGCCGCTTCCCCGGCGCCGAGCTCGGCGCGAGGCCGCGGTGACGAGCGGCGGCTGCGCGGCCATGGGCGCGCCGGTTTCGCCCTAGGACGGGCGCGCAGAGAGCGCAGCTGGAGGGCCGCCTCGGCAGGCAGCCTCCTCGAGCGGCAGCGGCGGCGGCGGCGGGCGCAGCGCGGCCGGGATGAGCGGCAGCGGCGCGGCGCCCGGCCCGGGCTCGGGCTCCTCCCCGGCCGCCTGCCGCTTCGCGCACTACTTCGTGCTGTGCGGGATCGATGCGGACAGCGGGCTGGAGCCCGACGAGCTGGCGGGTAAGGCCGGGCTTGGGCGGCGCGGGGGTGCCCACAGGGACGCACGGCGCGGGCTCCAGACAAAGTCGGCTCCCGGCGGCGTCCGCTCCGCGGCCGGCCGGGCGCTCGGGCGGCGATTTAATGACATTGTTATTTATGCCGCGTGCAGGGTGCGCTGCTGAGCCCGCGGGCGCCGCGCCTCGGATGGCGCCCGCCGGGGGCTCTCGGCTCCCCGCGCGGGGTTATTAATAACGGGCGCGGGGGTAGGGACGCGGGCGGCCCCCTCGCCTGCAGCTGCACGCGGAGGCGGCCGTGAGTCACTGGGCGCGTGGACTCCCGGCCTTAGCTGCGATCCTCTGTGTCCCCCCCTCCGCCCCGGCTGCGAAGTTTCAGCCCTGGCACGTGACGCGGCGCTCAGGCCCCCTCCAGGGAGGGGGCGTCCGGGACCCCTGGGCTATGGGTTCGCGCCCAGCCTGGCGCCGGTGGCCCCGCCGGGCGAGCGCGGGGCGGGAGGCTAGTTGGACTTCATCCTTGCCTGTTCCCGGTCTGCGCCGCCTCCCGCCTCGGGTGCTGCGATGCCGCAGGTCGAGTCACCTTTTGGAATCTAGTCGATTTGGCAGTGTCACGGGAGCTGGCGGGGACCTTTGAACGCCCAGGGACTCGGCACGACGCTTTGTTGACCCTGCCTCCACTGTTCCCGAGTTGAAGGAGTTGGATATTTTCCCCTCGGTTGGGCGCACCGTGTGTTACTGCCTGGGTTTTGCTGGAGGGGCACCGGTCCTTCCTCTTGACTCATTGGATGGCGCAGTGCAGGGCTGAGCTGGGGAACCGACGCCGGGAATAGGGGCCGTTAAAGGATGATGGGTGGGGGGAGAGATGAGTACGCAGTCCAGACGAGGCCGGGGGAGAAACGACTCATTGCATTTTTCACGCTTGTTTCTTTCTGCTGGCCTTGGGATCGGAATCTTGATTTTTTTTTAAATGGGTGAGACAAGTGACATCTACCGCCTGAACTTTATCTGTGTCAGTGTTAAACACTTAGGTCATAGCCTTTCAAAACAGCTTCTTTTGGACATAGCATTCCTTATTGATTGCACCAATGTGGATTTTTTTTCTTTTCCATTTGGGAGGGAGACTGAGAAGAATATATTAAATAATAAACAATAGTAAACAAAACTGCTCAGCCTTAAATACAGTACCCATCAACCCACATCTTAGCTGAGTATTTTTATTAAGTCAGTTTTGCAGTAAAATATTTTCAACACAGCCTGGAAGTCTAGTTTTAAACATTTTTTGGAAAAGAGGGGCAAGTACCGATTTTTCTGTATGTGTAATTATGTAATCATGTTGTTTCTTCAACTAAGATTTCATGTCCATGTTAAGAATGGCTTTGTTAAGGAATATGAAGTTAGAAAAAATGTCTTCAGAGGGATTTGGAGAGATTCCTCTTTGGGGATTGGTGGAGGGAGGGATTATTTTGTTTTTCTAGAATCCCTTCTTCCCTTAACATCCTAAACATTTGTGGCACTTGGTCACTCGGAGGCCTTCTGTCAGCGGTGACTGCTGAGTGAAAAAGCCTGTTTTTGTCTTCTCCATCTCAAGTCTTTATGCCTAGTAAAGCTAAACCAACGCTTGTAGGTGTCCCCTGGGACTCTTTAGGTACAATGCAAGTGGCTTTAACAAAATTAAACAGTAAAAAATTAATTTTCAATGCATTTTTTAGAAACAAACTGGCTTCTCTTTTTGTGTACTGTGTGTGAGTGTGGGTAATTATTTGGGATTTCTCCTCTTCGTAGTACTTGGTGTCTTGAGGTAACAACCAATTTTGCCTGTTAGTATTTCAGTATCTTTCATTCAGTAGTTTTGCAAGTCTCTATGTGTGGTAGGAGAGTGCGTAGTTTGCACAGATAACAACAAAGAAGCCAGCGTGGCTGGAGCTGACTTAGGGGGAGAGTAGTAGATATGATCATAGAGAAAGGGTAGGGGAGGTTGTGTAGGGCCTCATAGACAATTGTTAGACTTTCACTTGAGATGGGAAACCACTGGGTGGTTTCGAACAGTGTGATGACAAGATCTGAGGTCCCCTTCTAAAATGATCACTGTGGCCACCATGTTGACTGACTGTATCAGGGGCGAGGATAGAGGCAGACCAGTTAGGAGGCCCTTTCATTTGAGGTGAGAGATGTTGGTGTCTTGGATGAAGGCGGGGACAGTAAAGTGGTGAGAAGCTGGATGTATTTTGAAGGTAGAGCCAGCAGGACTTGCTGATGAGTTGGATATGGTATTCATAGTGAAAGAAAGTGATCGAGGATAACTCCGAGATTTTTGACCTAAATAATGGTAAACTTCTTTATTTACCGACATAGGAAGACTGATGGAGAAGCAGGCTGGAGAAGATTAGTTCGCTTTTGGACATGTTAAGTTTGAGGTGCCCATTTGACATTCAAATGGAGGTATCAAGTAGGCAAGACATCTCCCAGGGGTCTAAATTTATATTTAGATATAAGTTTACAGCCGTGAAATTGGGTGATATCACCCAGAGAGGGAGTGTACCTGGAAAGGAGAAGAGGTTCAAGGATTGAGTCCTGGAGGCGCTCCAACATTTAGAGGTGGGAGGAGGAGGAGGAGACAACCAAGGAGGTTAAGGAGTATGGTGCGTGAGATGAGAGGAAAGCAGGAGAATGTACTGTCATGTTCCCAACTAACGATCTGCTTGACTGTTTGCGTAGAGCTACGTTTGGGATCAGGAAACAAGGCCGGTGAGTTAGGCAAATTAGTCAGAAGGTTGTTTCTGTTTTGCTGCATTAATTTCAAAGTTTATGATAGTTAAGTTTCTATGTTACTTCTCTGGAACCGATTTATTTTTATCACAGTTTCTTAGCAAGTTGTCACCCTGCTTGTAGAAGATCTTAATTGACTTCTATTAAACAAATTCTACCAATTGCTTTACAGACTTCTTAACATGTACGTGTTCTTAGAATTCACACTTTGCAGGTGGTGGGACATTGAAATCAAATTGAGGACACAAACCATACGGTGGAGTAATAATTAGACTTAAGACCTTATGATAAAGTTATCAAGGCTTTAGATTGTTTTTTAGACACTTCTCCCAGTAAAGCCCAGCTTTACCAAAATGAGAAAGACTTCTTTTATCGCAAATAGGTCTTTTAACAGCAGAAAATAATTTAAATATATATGAGTAAAAATATATTTTAAAATGAAAGACCTAGCAATTTTATTCACACACACAGAGATACACTGGTATTACTATTGTCATTTGTCTCCCACATCTTAGCTGTTGTGCTCTCCTACTCACTGTATATTGTCAAGATGCACTTTATCCATAAACAAAAATGTCCTTTAAATGTTAAAGCAGGAATGTTTAAATTTCCTTTAAATGTTAAAGATAAGAAAAAGGTTTTCAGTTGGATTCTTTAGTGCGTAAAGAAGAAAGGAGGTGTAAATAGAAGTAGGTTGTTGGAATTTGTTGACATGAGGAAGGCAGATGTCATTTTGAAATTTTCTTTTATGGCTTTCATTTCCTCTAAGAGCTAGTTGTAGGAACTTAGGTATCTTGATTTACAGCAACAAATCTTTTAGGCCATGGAAAAATGAAGAACGTAATTAGACCTTTAATTAAGTAACGTAAATATGCAAGCCCCCAAGAGGAAAGGGTCTTTCTCTTTCATAGTACCTTATACATCATATATACTGTTTAAGAAGTGAATGAATATAAAATTTACATGTAAGTCTACAAATTGTGTGATGACCAGAATATTCTTAAAGCGTTCCCATGGCAGCCGTGATTCAGTCCTGCTGATAGCTGTTGAAGTCTGATGGGTGAGATCCCTGCCTCAGGCCTTTGTTTAGATCTCTTCCTAGGTGCCCCTAGCTATTTTTAGCTTTGGTTGTCTTGGGTGTGGTTTCCAGAAGAGCTTAGAGGCAGTGGAGACCATGGTCTAAATTCAGATATAAAATTTAGTTGAGACTGATGGAAGTGTTCTGGAAGGGACCTTAGACATCATTTACAGTGAAGAGATCAAGGCCGAGAGATCAAGTTGCCCTCTCAGAGAGCACATTTGACCAACAGCAGACAGCAGAGTCAAGAGCCCAGCTATTCTGGGACACTATCCTCCGTAGTTATTTTATTTAAGCTTAGAAAAAAGATGAGCTTGACTTATTCCAGACTGCATGTCATAGTCAACACTGTGCTAAAGTATGTCTTTTAGAAACAATGGCCAGGGGCTGGCCCGGCCCCGTGGCAGAGTGGTTAAGTCCACGCGCTCTGCTTCAGCGGCCCAGGTTGTCACTGGTTCGGATCCTGGGTGCAGGCATGTCACCCAGGCCGTGCTGAGGTGCCGTCCCACATAGCACAAACAGAAGGACCTACAACTACAATATACAACTATGTACTGGGAGGCTTTGGGGAGAAGAAGAAGAAGAAGAAGAAGAAGAAGAAGAAAAAAAGAAGATTGGCAGCAGATGTTAGCCCAGATGCCAATCTTTAAAACAAAACCAAAAACATAGAAACACTGGCCAGGTGTACAGGCTTGGGTGGGGTGAGAGCTGCCCATCTGGCCACCCATTGGTGGTGCCTTGGTCGTTAGCTTTGTTGACATCCTGGGCCCACAGTTGGGAGTTGGGAAGGTCTGGCCTGGGAACTGGGGAGCTGGGGAAGGAGAAATGCAAGGGTTAGCCTCCATTCTAAGGAGGCCAAAGAAGATTCAAGGTCTAGTTGCTGTGGTTTAGTGATAACTTGATTTAAAAAATCTGCTGGGAGTAAAACTCTTTCTAGTGAAGGTGGCCCAACAGTGAGTGCAGCTCAGCTCCCTGTGATCACCCCAGGGCTCAGGGTTAATGCGAGACATACTGTAGGGAAGGTGTAGGGCAGTCAGAATACTGGAGAAGGTGACATGGGAGGGTAGAGGGGAGGATGGAGGGACGTAAGTGTGTGGAGGAGGACAAAATATTAAGAGAAAGGGAAAGAAACGGGACAGGGAGAGATAAAGGGAGCTGGAAGA